ATAAATAAAAGTGAAGATATTGTAAATAAACATTTCTTTAAAAGTTAATAGTTTCATATTTGAATTAATATTATTTCTTACCCAGCAAATAAGAGCTACTTGATCAAATATTATCTTTAGTCTTTACCCAAAATTGATAATTTTATATATATATTAGTCTTCGCCCAAAGATAAGAAATTTAAAATAATCATTTAAAGTTACATAGTTTTTAGTAAAAACGAATTGTGTTTTAGCTTTTTAAAAAAATAACTTAATTCATACAGGTTTATATGAAAATCACATGATTTTCAAATATACCCATACGAATAAGCTTTCAAAAAAAGCACGAGTTGTTATATAAGTCCCATATAATAAAAGAGAGTTGATATTTTAAGCCTTTTAATATCATTACCAAAACAATTTAAAATTACATAAAGAAAACCTCTTTTATTGAGGATTCAAATTTATTAATTATTGGACTTGCTAATTCTGTAATTTGTTAGAATTGCGATTGGTAAATTATATAATTTTAAATAATTTATATAAATAAATACAGTATAACAATAAATTAATAAAAATAAGTTTTACTTTAAAAGTGTAATTAATTTATACTGTACATGCTTTACATTCAAATTTGCGTTCTAATTAAAAACAATAACATTATATTATTTAGCAAGTCTTAAGAAATAAAATTATTATTGCATATATAACATGTGATAGTAGATGTAACGATCATGATAGGACCCCAAAATATACATGGATAGGTCAGGTATGAGTTTGCTTATTTTTGAGGTTTTTTATGCAGATCTTTTCTATTTATAGTAATTTTTTTGCTTATTTTTGAAGTTTTTTATGCAGATCTTTCCTTTTTTAGTAACCCTATAATTAACCTGACCTATCTATGTGTATTTCAGGGTCCTATCATGATCATGTTGTCTATTCAGATAATAGATTTTGAGTACTAATGCAATTTCTTTCTCGAATAAGCAATATACTCATTTTACTCTATTTTTAATATATGAAAAATTTCTTTCTATAGGAATAACAACTATATTTCTAACAGGTTTTTTTTGCTTATTTCATACATATTTTTCCACACACCTTTGACGATCAATTATTATATAGTACAGTAAAAATAGTACAAATATTCGAAGTACATATTAATTTTAAGTTTGTGCAAAATCTATATAATTAAAACACAAATGTCTGCAACAACCAACCAACCAAATACTTCTAATACAGTCACATCTGTATAAGGACTATTATTACGTAATTAGCTAATACTAGGCAATTCTTTGAACATGTGCCAGGTTTGTGGCGCAGATTGCCTGGACTTTGAATCAGATTTCAAGATCAAGTGCAATGTAACACAAATATGAAAATTTAAAAACAACTGCTGTTTTGTCAAAAATTGTTTATTTCTTAAAATTGCATATAAAACTACTCTTCACACACTAACAAAAAGGGTTTCCTTTAGTAATTTTACTATATGCTCTTATAACATCTAACTACAATAAAAGCTCCAAACTTAGCTTAAAAGAACTTTAAAGAATTTTGACTGTGTCATAAACCTGGCACGCATTCAAGAATTGTCACTTAACAGTCATATGCGATCATAATTCTAACAGAAAAAACCTGCATCTAACAAGACAATGCAGCAGCAATTACAAAAACAAGCTTTAAAAGGCTAAAAATGAAAAATCAGTAGTTATGCATGAGAAAACCGATCTCCAAATTAGTGTTATATAAAAAATTGTCATATTAACACTTATTGTAATACTCAAGTACATTGCGCAAGCAATGCAAGATACACTAGTTATTTATTATTTTTGCGCAATTGCAGAATTGTGTATATATACAAACATGCATGTGTATATACAATTATAAATGAAGATTTCCTTTTTTATATTTTTGTTAATTGCAAGTTGAGTACTATTGCAAAAAAGGTAAGCCAAATTATAGACCTCTAGCTAATAATCCGCATTAGTATCTTAGCAATCTGAGATTTGTGAAGGCCTTTGTGTATTTTCTTGGGAATTTGTTTGAAAAAGCATAGTTGATGACTGCTCACAGCAAGCATTTTGTATAGCTGTTCTCAATGATCCTCTATATCCATTAATCGTCCAATCTGGTGCTTGGAATGGTTTTGATTGTTCTTTTTCATAATAATCAGTATCATAAGTTCGAGCTCGTTTCTTTGGTAGTTTGATGATTCAGCAAATATTACGTCAATGTAATCAAATAAAAATGATCGTAACTACAAAAAAATTAGAATGAGTAATATAATTTAATAATGCAACTTAACTAATGCCATATGGCGTCTCACTAGAGTAAATTATAAATAATAAGAATAATAATATGGCTTCCAATATTAATCTTACAGTATCAGAGCACTATTTCAAATCCTTTATAATAATCTTTCGTTCTTCAGAAAGATTTTCCTCATCAGTTTCGGAATTCTTAGGTGAATGGTATAAGTTGTTATTTTTAATTGGCAAAAGATCTTGATCTTTAAAAAACATAATTACTGGATCTCTAATTGCAACTAGATGTTGGATTGTATTAGCTCTATTTTGTCATTTCTATATATAATTGAAATATAATGAAATTAGTAACAATTCTAAAACAAAGACACTAGAGTGTCTAGGGTACGGTACTACTGCTCTGGCTAAAAATTCTACTGCAATTATCATTAAATTAGTACAAATTCTGTGCAGATTTTGCCACAGCAGTACTCTAGACATTTTATAAAATACTAAATAAAACTTACTCTACTCCTTTGGTAATTTTTATGTCTTCATCTTGCATCTTTATCTTGATCTTCCTTTGGTCGTTGTTTCATGTTATAAACTTCACGTTTGTGTTTGTGATGAATATGAATAATATTATATATAATTTCCTCAGAAACTGGAAATATTGATGAATCTAATGCTTTTTTGATGGTTAGAATTACTGTGTCATTCACTAACTTTTCTTGAGACTAAAATGGTTGATCTAATTTTAGTTAACTTTGGGATGGCATCCTTCTAAGTATCCAACTAATTTGATGCTAAATATAGAAAAAAATATTATTTAATAATATATATACAGTATATCTACCATATATTACTGCATATAGTACTAACGAATGCTATATAATGGTAAGGGGAGTAAATTTTTAGGGGTACTATATGCAATACTATACAGTATATTAATATTTATGAAACAGAAATAAAAAAATTATCTACTCTTAATGCAGATTTAAGATCATTTGAGAGATCAGTAACGTGTAAATATTTAAGTTTGATATTCTGAAAACTTTGATCTTGACTTCTAAATTATTTTGCCCATATCGATCTTGAACTTGTGAATAACTTTGGTTCGATTGTTTTAGTGATCTCGAATAATTTTGACTGGGCTGTTTGGTTTTTGATCGACTTTGGCTTGATTGACCTTGAACTCTTGAACGATTTTGACTAATAAATCCTGGCTTTGGTCTTTATAATCTATAAATAGGCTTGTATTATCTAATTTCAGGTTCTGTTTAATAAATTCTTGAAATAGCTTTTGAATGTCTTTATCTTGTATTAATGAAAAAACTTGATCTAAATATATATATATATTAACCATGCATATTATAATACGTAAGTACAAGAATTAATACGTATGCACTCCAAATTTATAAAATTAAATTTGCCTTTTTCAACTTGCTTTCCTTTTTTATCCATCTCGTCATAAGATCTTGAGTGCGATTCTTCGGAACCAGATAACTGAAACCTATATTAATATTATAAGTACAGTACTTGGCATATAATATAAATTAACAATAATTATAACTTGTTATTTATAATTAGCGCACTTTTTATTTTTGCTATAATGATTATAAATACTGTATTTATTTGGTTTGGACCATTTATCACTGCTTTTACTATCATAAATTCTTGATCGTTCTCTTCTGTCACAACTACTTTTTCGACTATTTCTACTATCTCTACTTCGATCATAACTTCTTGACTGATTTCTTTGATCATGACTTCTTGAATGCCTATCTCTACTTCTTCGATCATAACTTTCGGAACTACTATCTCTACTCCTTCGATCATACCTTCTTAACTGACTTCTTAACTGACTTCTTCGATCATAACTTCTTGATCTACTCCTTCGATCGTAACTTCTTGACTGACTCCTTCGATTATTTCTTGATCGAAACCTTCTCCTGCGTCCACATTCCAGATGATAAGAGTTCTTAGAGTGATGCATAATTTGAGTAAATGTATATATAAAAGTATGCTGAAGAAATTCAAATATTTTTTTTTCTAGTTTTTATAAGATTTGATTCAAAAAGAATATCAGAAATACATATACTTTGTTGTAATAAAGTGCATTGTCATATAAATAAGCATTTTTTAACAATAATTTTATAGTCATAATGTAAGTATATAGACTTATAAAATTTACTATAAAATATGTTTACTAATCATGAAATTTACAATGATGAAATTAATTTAATAGACATATCCTGATTAAAGTTCTAAAGCTTTATTTATAAATTTTAAGGTGTTTGAATTATGGTTCGACTGAAGCTACGATGAGCTATGTTTTAGAAGATCATATTCTTACTCTAGGTTTATTAGTTAGAAACTTTGAAATTAAAGGACAACTTATATAAATAATTAATGGATATATTCGACAATTAATTGCAATAGGACTACGATTATTAGGAGTAACCAATGGCAAAAGATGAAACCCTGGCGAAACAGGAAAATCTGATGAAAGAAGAAATCCTTGACGAAAGGCGAAACCTCGGAGTCAAAATTCTCAATGAAGATAAAATAATCTAAGACTTTGGAAAGACTGAACCACGTTGGTAAATGAAGATATTTTGCGCGCAGCTATTAAGCATGGTATAAAATTTACAAAAACAATAAACAAAGCGATCAATTTTTTGTTTGTATTAGAGTACTGTTAAGAGAAAACTAGATTTCAGACTTTTGAACTTATAATTAAATCAACTCAGCTTAGAAAATTTAAAGTCTGAATTCTTGTTTCTTTTAGAAGTACTTATCTATGTATTAATATTATTCATGTAAAATAAACCTAAGGTTTTTATTTAAATATATATTTAAATAAATTTTATTGTTAAGCTGGTAAGATTTGTCTCTTTAACATTTCATTGTTAAAACTTTAAATACTATATATATGTAATTCATTCGTTAATATTATTATTATTGACCATTATTTCCCAATGCTCTGTTTTAGGGCTAGCTTTAAGAAATAATTGCTATGCCATTAACTCATAATAGATCAAATGTAGTAAATTTTAGATCATTAATAATAAAGCATTGTAAGCTTATATGACAGACATGAGTATAAAAATTATTTACAGTGCATTAACTTATACAATCAACGATTATTAAAATTCTGATGGTGATTTTTTTTCATTGTTGTTACAATTATTAGCTAGTCAACTCACAAGTTTTTTTATCTTGATACCCTTATTACTCTTATTTATTTTTATTATTATTTGTCCCCTTTAATTATCAATTTACTATCAATTTATTGCATGCTGATGTCAAAAATTAAATAATTATTGATCTATTTAAGTGGTTATTATTTTCATAATATCACGTGGAAAAGCAACCTGAATAATTGATACGTATAAAGTTACATTTTATATAGCAAATTTGGCAAATTTAGCCAATTTTGGCAATTTATTTTTGTTATACCTACCAATTTTAAATTTTTAAGCAGTATAATTATTGGTGTACAGACGGCTGTATATAAAACAGGAGAAATGAAATAATGCCCCAATACCCGAATAAAATCCAGAATGTAAAACATTTTGTATTCAAATGTAGAAGATTTTGGGGATGTGCATCTTTCGAATTCAATTAAAAAATAGTAACTGCTGACAATATAGAGACCCACATGTATATATAGTTTATGAAAACTGGCATTGGTATGTACATGAGAAGTAGAAAGAGAAGAACCAGTGTTAACTTGAATTGTAAAAGACTGAATTCTGAGAGAAATCAGAACACTAATAGTGCAATCCACAATGAGTAAAAAAAGCATAGAGAAATTTAATTTGTAGGAAATAAATAGAAAAAAAGTAAGTGAATGTTATGATGGATATAGCTACATATATATGTACAATATGTAAATAAGCTATAATATAGATTAATAAAAAAATACCATATAACCTTCTCATTGATGAAACAATCATGTGATCTGGGTTTTTGGAAGTCATCCCAAATGCCTCTCAATTTAAGTATTTATTTTGGATTTTGTCTCTTTTTTTGTTAAATAAACTTATATAACTCTATGTAACTGCTATTTTACTAATTCGATAATTGTAAATATGTTTACATGAGTTGTTTAAAATATCTGTCATGCCAGATTGTGCTTAGATTGACATATTATATTTGCAAAATTATCTAACCCAAAGATTAAATAAATATAATAAATATATATAACTAACTAATCCTTCAAACTATTTTATATTAATAAAGCCTATTCGATCACTATTATTTTTCTAATCTCTATACAATGCTTTAAAAAAATGTCTAATCAATCAAGAAAACAACAAGTAAATAAAAAATTATATACAAATGTTCAATCTAAAATACCATGCAATTGCCAACTATGTAATAGTAAGATAGTAGAAATCAGAACTAGAAAATCACACGAATTAATAGAAATGCAGCACCAAGATTTAGTAAAAGGAAAGTCTATTTTGCTTAAAAGTAATGTTTAAGACAGTACCATATCAATAGATGATGATAATAATAAAGAGTCTTCCATCAACAATTTATCTTTTGTTAATAAAAAAAGAAGACACGATCAGTTTTACAAAACTAATAATATAATGATTCTGGACTTAGAGCATAAATAGCAAACTTACTCATTGAATGATTTATCTAATAAGCAGAAAGATCCTCAATGGTTTGATAATGAATTAACTTTGGATAATAGTAATTTTGAGGATTATAGCCCGTTTTATAATAATAAAGATATACAGACCAAGGCATTCATGACTTCTAACTCTGTGAATCTTAATGACAATTTAAATTTTAAGAATCTTCTTACACACAGAAGTACAAACATTTTTTGGATTTTACTTTTGATATTTAAATATCAAGAAAGGTTCCAGCTTTCAGATGTTGCGATCGAATTTCTTTTAAAAATTGTAAATTAGTTTTAATGGATGCTGATATAAGATGATTTGAAAATTTTTCTTCAATGATTTATATAGCCAATAAGTTACTAAAAATCAGAAAAAACAATAAAATTAATAAAATTTTTGCAGCTTGTCATGATTGTAACAAACTTTATAATATTGGTACTAGTAATTCAGGATTTAAATATACTTATATTGAATTTTCTAGTCATCCACTGCAAACCCAACGCCAACCTTGTAGATCTGAAGTATTAGTTAAGGTTCCTGTGAGTAATAAATATATTTGGCATCCCAAAATAGTATATCAATTACTATGCTTGAAAACACAAATATCTACAATGTACAAAAGACTGGGATTTGAAGAACTTTTGTGTAAATAGGCTAATCACAGAAATGAAACTAATTTAATATCTGATATATATGACAGCAATGTTTGGAAAACATTTCCATCAGATATTAATAATTCAGAACAGTTATTTTTTATACCTGAAACCGCTGACTCACATCTAGGAATAATGATCAATATAGACTGGTTTCAACTGTTTAAATTTGCATCTTATAGTTGTGGGCCAATATACAGGGTAATTTGCAATTTACCGCACAATATTTGATTTAAGAAAGAGAATATGTTAATTCTTGCCCTTATATCAGGACCAAAAGAAGTCAAGTCATATAGAATTAATCATTATCTTACCCCTGTTATAGATAATTTACTTGAATTTTGGAATAGTATGAATTTATCAACAACTTATAAATATCCTTCTGGTAGGAATATTAGAATGGCGGTAATATGTTGTAGCAATGATATTCTGGCTGCAAGAAAGTTATGCAGCTATATATCAGCATTAGTTGGATGTCACAGGTTTTTTAATTTTTTTTTTCTTTGTTAAGAAATCCTATTTTCGTCAGGTTAAAGTAAACCAAATATTACTAATGCTAATAATTCTAGTTATAAAAATGATATTATGGTTTTTCGAGTAATTTTAAACTGGCCGAAAATAGAAATTCTCTTTTTATTTTTTTTTGTTTTTTATTCTTTTTATTTACTATATTGTTTTTTTTTTATATTAAATATTATAGATGTTATAAAAAGGCAAGCAGTGGAAAAGGTCAAAGCCCAAATTTTGGTGGCTTCGATGATATGGACAGTTGGTTTAGGGCAAGAGATCCAATAGAACCCCGTTGAAATGCCTTAATTTGGAAAAAACAACTAACTAAAAATGATAGAAAGGAGCATTTTAGTCAAACTCATATTCAATGGTCTGAAATACTTCGCCTACCTTACCATAATTCTATAATGCATTTAATTGTTGATCTGATGCACTGCTTGTTTTTGGGCATTGCACGTTGGATCATGAAGAAATTATAGATTGATGGTATCAAAATCTCGAAATCTAATCTGGAATTAATGGAACGAAGAGCAAAAATATTGATATACCAACTGATATTGGAAGAATCTCATTTAGAATAGCTACTGGTGACAGATTTTCCATGTTTACTGCTGACCAATGGAAATCGTTTATTATGATATATTCGATTCCATTGATGTGGGATCTCTTAGACACTCAAGACAAAAAAATTTTAGCAAATTTTGTAGATGCTTGCTTTTTGCTAGTAGCACAGGTTATTGATAGTAATATATTAGACAAAGCACAGTTCCGATTATTACAAGTTGCCAAATTGATTGAAAAGAATTATAGCCCGGAGGCAATTACTCCAAATATTCACCTATCACTTCACATAGTTGAATGTTGTCAAGACTACGGCCTATTATACTCCTTCTGGTGCTATTCATTCGAAAGAATGAATAGAATTTTGGTAAGTGTTTTATGTAAAATTTTGCACTTATTACAAATCTATATACTTAGTTGGCAAAATCAAATTATCACACTCTATAGTACTTATACTCTTTATAAAATACATTAAATTAATTATTTCTCATATAAATTTTAAAAATGATACATGCACTAAAAAAATTAAATACAAATTTTTTAGAAGCAATTAATTTTATATATGCATTTTTTTTTACTATGATTCTGGAATGTACTTAGAGAAATTTGTAGTAATAATTTATTGTTCTTTCTAGGTTTCTTTCCAAATAGTCATCGTTAAATAGAACAGGAGCTATTACAAATCATTATGCAAAATTGGCAACTTGATGATCTTATATCCACTCAATCAAATAACTTGAACCTTATCAAAGGTTTAAGTTTAATACGGCCAAAAGCAACTGTGGGAAGCTTAGCAATTTATGACAATTGTGAATTTGATGAACTTTGCCATTTTAGGCAAATTTATCAGCTTGAAATTGAAGATACAATTACCGGTATTGAACCTTTTTTCGGCAAAATGCTGTCTCTTAAAAAAGCGAATTTTTGCTTGCCAGATTATGTATATAATGTACTGATAGCTTATTATAATAATGTATATGACATGGAATTTTTGTTAATTGAGAAGTTTACTGGGGAAAAGGCAAGAAGTTTTGACTGAAAAATTATTGTCCGGCCTCAGGTGAATCTGTTCAAACGTATTCGAATTGGAGCTAAAATATTTGGGTCAGCTGATACACCTCGATATTTAAAGAGTTCGTTTATTCTTGCGAAGTTTGTGCAAGATAATGGTTCCATGGATGTATTTCTAGTTCAGGTCCAGTATTTTTTCGAACACAAAGTCAATAAACCAGAAAAAGAAGATACACATTGGTTGGCTTATGTAAGATGGTTTAGAGTGGCTCTGAATTACAAAACAAGATTTCATTTCAGATTGATAATATTCAAAGCAATGTGAAAATCTGGGCTCAAGACTTTTACAATATTAGTAGAGATTGCATCATACCAATTCATAATATATTTGGTTAATTTGTGCCTAGTGAGTATAAAATAGGCAAAAAACAATCTGTTAAATATATAGCTGTTATTTCTATAGGAAGAAAATTTCATATATAATAAGTAATCATACATTAATTCACATGATTTAATTTGCATATTGCACAATTATTTTGTACTGTAACTGAAAATAGATATATTGTACAGTACATATAATTGTTAATTTTCTTTTTTTGTCTTTGATAAATTCAATTTGTCTGTATTAATTTTAATTTGTATCATTTCTCTTTTTTGTCATTCAATTAATTTAACTTTTATCACTTTTCATCTGTCTTCCATTTCCTTTATAATAGCTAAAATACAAAAAAAGCAATTACAACAACGATAGCTCTTATTTTGTTAAAATTTTAACTTTACATTTATTTCGTCTCTGACCACCGCACACACAATTTATTGGCTTGATATGTAACAAATTAATCTTAATTGATGATTAATGACTTAGCTACAAATTGTAATTAGTACTATTATAAAAATATTTGCTGAATTATAATCTTTGTGAGATTTT